CCTGCCCCTGCCGCTCCCCGCCTGTCTCCAGAGCCTGGCCCTGCCGCTGCCCAGCTGTCCTCCCAGCCTCACCCTGCCGCTGCCCGGCTGTCCTCCCAGCCTGGCCCTGATGCACCCAGCCTGTCCCGCCAGCCAGGCCTTGGAGAAACCCGCTCTCGCTCTCGAACAACCTCTGCTCCTGCCAACCGTGCACGTGGATATTGGAAGGTTCTGAAGACAAACTTCACAGGCTGCCTACGGGCCCTGTGGTGCTGCTGCCTGCCACCCTGTGAGCACCCCCGAAACAAGGTGGCCCCAACGTAAGTAGCACCCAGCAGAATCCCAGACAACCCTCAACACTCAAGGAGGCTGGGTGGTCCGGGTGCTTTCTGAGTGAGCTGTATCCTGATGATGTCACCTTTCACGGTCAGGGTAGAACTCGAGTGAGGAGGAGAGGGGAGAGGGATGGAGGAGTTGTGGCCAGAGGGACGAGTCTCAGATGGACATGAGGACTCGCTATCAGGTCTACTGTAGCGTAGGGCGGTGGTGACCACAGCCAATAATGCCTGGTATATTTTCACATGCGTGTCCATTTCATATGTACCCTTGTCGTTTTAGTAGAAAGCAATGACAGCAGCTCCGTGGACGTGGACGTCCTACCCATGGCAGACCATCCACATGGGAGGAAGCCACGGTGAGTCACCCTGCAGCCCCATCTAGGGAGCTAGAGGGAAAGGGTGTAAAGGACACCTGTGTTTCCTGGGGAGGGAGGAGGGTACGCAGCACAGAAGGCTGTGCTTGAGTCAAGAGCGAGGATTCAGCGGCAGGAAGATGAGGAGCAGCAGGAGGGCGACGTCTCCCTGACTTGTGTATCACTGCCGGAGGGAGGCTCCCCTAAGACCAGGGAGTGCCCAGCACCTTGGAGCCTTCTGACCACAGCCTCCTGACTGGGTGCAGGTAGATGTGGGGGCTGTGTGAGGGTGGGGTTAGTTGAGCAGAGCCGTGATTTATCCCACCGTCCTCCGTGGTACGGAGCTTCTCTCTGCTCATCTCCTCGCATGTCCCTGTGTGACAGTTTCCAAGGAGCCACAGAGGAGGTGCTGGAAGGACAGTGAGCCCAGGTGAAGAGAGGCAGCCCTGCCTGTTCTGAGGACTGGGACACTGCTGTTCCCCCAGCCACCATGTAGAAGCCTAGACTCGGCCGAGCTGTGAGCAGCCCAGGAGTATGCAGAGGCCACACTGATCCTCTGCCCCAGCCCAGTCACCAGAGATTGGCTACATCCTACATCATCCCAGTGCCAGCCACGGAGCATCCTGGCCCAGAAGTCAGCACAGCTGAGTCCTGAGGACCAGGGCCATGCCTCAGCCCAAGTGGACCTCGCCTAGGCCCAGAGCCCCATACCTAACGTCTCTGTGGCCTCCCTGCCTCCTCCTCGGTCATCCAGGACGCAGTCGGTCCCAGCCCAAGGCATTCTGCTTCCAGGGTGTCTCAAACTCAGCCTGTCTTTGCCCCGTGCGCCATCAGGTCAGCACAGCTGAGTCCTGAGGACCAGGGCCATGCCTCAGCCCAAGTGGACCTCGCCTAGGCCCAGAGCCCCATACCTAACGTCTCTGTGGCCTCCCTGCCTCCTCCTCGGTCATCCAGGACGCAGTCGGTCCCAGCCCAAGGCATTCTGCTTCCAGGGTGTCTCAAACTCAGCCTGTCTTTGCCCCGTGCGCCATCAGCACTGAACAGCAGATTTGTTCATGGCACAGATGTTGGGGACACTCAGGGCCAAGGACAGAGGTGCGGACTGCAGACATGAGGGGCGAGGCCAATGCCGAGGGCTTCTGCAGGTGAGAGCAGGAAGGGGATTCAGGAGCAGAACATGGACACAGTCAAGGGATCAAATGAGCCAGCCTCTGCCCCAGAGCAGCCGGCTGAGGACTGATTCGGGGACGGCCCCGGGGGACAGCGCTGCCGTGTGGCTGGCACAGTCAGCAGAACTTCAGCATAATGACCCACGTGATTCTCTGAGATTGCTCGGAGCCTGGTGCTACTCTTCCTCTTCCTGCTCTCAGGATCACTGGGACTTTATAGAGGAGGAGGAGACCCCTCACCTCATAGCACTTTTATTGTAACAGGTTGCCAAGACCCCTCCTTTGTCTGACGGGCTGGCGCTAATGCGCCAGATTTTACCCGCTAGGCAGAAGAGGACGTTCTTATTTATAATGTTGTTTTCATCCTCAAATCTAGGATGTGGATCTGATTATCACATTTAAGAGACTGTGTCCCAACCAAAAACCAGATGGCCTATGTTTCTGCAGTCTGAGGTGTGAGAGCCCATGCCTGGAACTCCAGGCTGTAGATCACTGGCGCATTGTTCTCCATGCTGCCAGGGTGAACAACCTGCGGCTCAGGCACTCAAATCTTCCCTAGAGCCTGAGCGTCCCACCTGGTGGGCGCTGACGCAGCATCCGTCCATTCCTTGCCTGCCTAAGGCCACAGAGAATTTCTTACATGAGTGTATTATTCAGCTTTGTTCAAGTGTTGACTTGCATTAGCCTCAGGGGAACAATGTAAAAAATGGGGAGAGTTTTCTTCCAGTTACGGTAACTTTGTATATAATTGCAAGGACAGAAACACTTTGAGTAATGATAAATACCCTCTGCACAGAGAGAGAAAGGATTCCTACCTTGTACTTGGAGATGAGACCACCGGGGCTCTGTTTTTGTGCAAGTAACTGTTCAGCTGTCCTCATGCACAACTCAAGTTCCTTCTGGGACTCCTCCACCTTCCGCCTGCTGTCTGACTCTGGTGACACAACGGTCTTCAATGCTGCAGCAAGTTTTACCATGGTGATCTGTAAAGACAACAAAACAAAACAAAAAGCTCAAAATTGGCCCAACTTCTGAGTACATTTATAAGCTACCAAATGTTTTCTTCCAGTAGAAATTTATATTTTTCCAGGAAACATAAACATATCTAATTTATTATGCTCTTATCTGTAATATGCTCTAAATTATTATTATTGTTGTTGTTATGGTTATTATTTTTGGTACTGGGGATCGAACTCAGGACCTTGTGCTTGTGAGGCAGGTCATGGCACCACTGAGTTAAATCCCCCGCCCTGCTCTGAATTATTTTTAAAAATACTTTATAAAACATTTCTAAGCTTCAGGGCCACCTTTCCTCTTCCCCACCCACTAACCACTCTGTTTTGAGAAGAAATAAATTCACATGAATGTAACTGTACTGTGTCCCTAAAATGTACCAATAAACTCAATTAAAGCTGAAAAAAAAAAGAAAAAGAAATAAATTCACGAAAGAAAAAAAAAAAAAAATTAAGGCAAAAATGACAGGACACTACCACTTAATTCTGGTCAGTGGGCTCTGAGATATTTGGCACATAATCATGTACATTTTCTACACGTTGAAAACCTTTCAGGTAATTTTTAAAAAGCAGATTCTCCCTCAAAGGAAAAAAGTTTTCACACCATTGCCTTTCTTTTTTAAAATCAGTGTCCTCTAGTCTTTCAGTAGAATTCAAAAACAATTTCCAAAAACTGCTTTGGGTAATACGACTACATTAGATGTCCCCTGTGAAAGTGTATCAACCTGCACCAAGGGCCAGGAGGCAAGGGAAGGCTCCCTCCCTCCCCTGTTCATCATTTTAGGTTAATCTCCTTGCTTCTTGCAGGCAAGGCCCATTAGTCCCTTGTCTTTATCCTTCCAGGGCCTAATCCAGTATTTAGACTATGACAATCCCCAATAGTTGGAAAAAGTGAATTGATGAATGAAAAATGAATGAATGAATTCAATATGAAATTAATCAGCCCAGGATTTACAAGCCTTCTAAATTTACCAAAAGATGTCAGAAAGAGGATGGGGTTGATTGCTTTGCAGTTCTTCATTTCTTAATCTAGTTCCCATCTAGCTGTTTCAGTTTTTGGCTTCTAGCATGGGAGAACAAGCAGTTTTCTTCTTGGTATGATGAGAATATAGGGAAAGTCAGGAAACTTTCTCAAGTTTCTAAGTACAGGAACACTTAAATAGCATATTAGCCCCAAAAAGTCAAGCCCAGAAGAAAATGAACACATAAGTGTATGAAAGAAATCCATATTCTGTAAAACACATTCAGTGAGATATGCTATCTGGAATCTGATTGGGTGATAGAATGGGATTGTGATTTTCCATCTGTCATTTTATTTTAAAGGGCCACGGTTTACCTACTGTAGAAGTAGACTGGGTCATAGTGCAAAGCAAAGTGCAAAGTACAGTTCAAGATCTGGTAACTAAACTACAACTGAATCAGTAAGTTGTTAGAACAATGTACTACTTCTGTCTTCAACCACCTCTTAGAAGGACAAGATAGGAAGAAAGTGAAAAAAAAAATCACCATCTTTAGTGGTATGTCAGGCAAAGAAAAAAGAAGAGTATGACCGTTTTCATTACTGAAGCATGACTGCCAAGGTCACTCAGTGACCTAGGAGAGAAGCACAACAGGAAGAGGTTAGAAATATTTAAGGGAAAGAATCAAGATTGGTGATTAAAGATTTGAAAGAATGATAAAACTCTTAGAGGAGTATGAATATTGGGAAATGAGTATTCTTAGGGTGCCTGATAGGAGTTTAAGTATCTTTTCTGGGAGTTAACTCGAAAATCAAAAGCTTGAAAAATGTTTTTGCCTTTGGCCAAACAATTCTGCTATTAGAAATGTGTTAACAAAGTATTTGCGCTAGTGCAGAAAGGTATACGGTAAGACTGCTCCCTCAATCTCTATACATTATTGTGAGGAGTTAGAGCCTATCTTACTATCTCATCATAGCAAATTAACTTCATAAATTATCATGTATCTATGTAAATGATGATGTAATCTACATTGATTGGCAAGGGGAGTTCATGATTTTTAAATTTAAAAAATTTAGTATGAAAAATATGATCTTATTTTTGTAAAAATAGAACGTACATCCAAATGCTAACAGCTGTCAACAGAAATGTAGGTGATGGTGTTTTGTTTGCTTGTTTCTTCATATATCTATTTGTGACGATGAACATAGATGAAAAGTGCAGAGGGATGGAAAAACTCTGTCTTTGTGGCTGCCATCTCTCTTTTGTCTTTGTATTTCCAAAGCCTAGCACATCACTTAGAACATAATAACCCTCAACAGCTATAATGTGTGAAAAAATAAATGATTATAATCACTTGATCAGAGTTCAGGGAGACACAACAGACTGCCTTGTACTCTAAGCCAACTCTATCATTTTGTGTGCTTTCAACAGAACTGCAGCCTACAAATGTGTTCCCGTGCACTTTCAGGGATGTCAACCTGTTTTTGTTCTGTGTACCTGTGCATCTGTACAGCAAAACGTACCACTAGAGTACAAACTCCAGAAGAACACGAACCACACTTGACTACAGCCACACCAAAATCACGTTACCTAGGGCCCTTTTACTATGTGACCCATAAGCCATCCTCAGAATAACATCAGATGCCTGAAGTTCAAATAGGACTTTTCCAAGAACCTGGAAGGAAGTTATTTTAAACACGGAAGACCACAGATTCTGAGTTTGATGGCCTGAGAGCCCCTACAACACCATCAGACAAATAAAGCAATTTCTGAAATCACCACCAACTCCTTCCACTTGCCACCACCTCTGCCAAAGGACAACACCGTTTGTACCAGATACTCATTTATACACAGGAATGCATATGTTTTGATGTTTGTATTATTTTTGCAGAAAAAATGATCAAATACTTCTGAGCTCTATGTACCTCCTCCTGATTTTAAGTCCTTATGCCCAAATTATTGAGGTGGTTCTTTTTATTCATGTAAATTAAATAAATTAAAAACATAAAAATTGTATGTATTGAAGAGATTACCTTGTGAAATTTTATTTTATTTTACTTTTTTGGTACCAGGGATCAAACTCGGGACCTTGTACATGTGAGGCAGGTGGCAGGACCACTGGGCTAAATCCCCAGGCCCCCCCTTGTGAAATTTTAATACAGTATATTTTGTAATGTTTAAATACAGTATATTGTGTAATGCTTATATCTAGCTCCTCAAATTTTGTGGTTTCTTTGTGGTGAAAATTTTCAATATACTTTCTGTTAGCTTTCTGAAATATATAGAGTTCATGATTGCTATCTGTAGGCACTCTCCTAGGCAGTAACACACCAGAATTTGGGATCTTTTTGTTGTTGTTGTTGTTCATTTTTGTTTGTCTTTTGAGGCAGGGTCTAGCTTTGTAGCCTAGGCTGATGATCACCTTGCCTGGG